GGTGCGCCGACGTCAAGTCCCGCAAGCCTGGAAACTGTGGGCGCCGTCCCATGCACACTCTAAGCCAGCTAGAGGATAAGATCAAATCAATCCCTCCATTTGCACGATCGACTTGCCGCAGCCTGTCCGCCGCGACTGGAATCTGCATGTCGACCCTGTGGAAGCTGCTTCGGGACAAGAAGATGCGCAGGCGAACAAGCCGACTCAAGCCGATGCTGTCGCCAAGCCACAAGGAGCAGCGTTTGGAGTTTGTCAGCGGTTTCGTCCGTCAGCAAGATCGCGGCGGCTACAAGTGGCACGACATGATGGACAGGGTCCACATTGATGAGAAGTGGTTCTACGTGACGAAGATGAACCGACGTTACTTCCTGTGGACCGATGAGGACGTACCGGAGCGCAAGTGCCAGTCGAAACGACACATCCAAAACGTCATGTTCTTGACCGCCGTCGCCAGGCCCCGCTACGACTTTGGACGGCACACCTGTGGGACGGGAAGCTGGGCACTTGGGCGTTTGTGGAGACCCAGTCTGCTAAACGAACAAGCAAGAACCGTGAGCGAGGAACGCCAGTGACGACCCCTGTTACCGTCACGAAGCCGTTGTACCGGCGGTATCTGTTGGAGCACGTGTTCCCGGCGATTCGCGCGCAGTGGCCGGGTCCACGGAGCAAGCCCATCTACGTGCAGCAAGACAATGCTAGGCCCCACGTGAGTGTCAACGACCCCGACGTACTTGCTGCTGGTCGCCTTGGCGGATGGGATGTTCGTCTGACGTCGCAGCCCCCGATGAGCCCGGACTTCAATGTCTTGGACCTAGGCTTTTTCAATGCAATTCAAGCTCTACAGCACCAGAAGGTTACCCGTTGTGTCGACGATCTCATTGCGGCTGTCATGGACGCGTTCGTCGGTTTGGATTGGAAGGTGTTGGACAAGACCTTTGTGACGCTACAGAAAGTCATGGAAGAGGCGTTCAAGATCAACGGTGACAATGCTTACAGGCTTCCTCATCTCAAGAAGGACAAAACGTACAAGGAAAGTGGTCAGATACTGCGACTCAACTGCGATGAACATGTGTGCTCTGCGCTCGATGCCATGGATCGGCGCTTTGAGTACGAAGATCGTGTTGAATCATTGGTAGACTCTCTTTCGAGTTCATTAGCATAGGAAAACTCCGACTTAGATGAGATTTGTGGTTTAGTCCAGGAGGTTCAAGTTTGATAATTGATGGCATCATATCATGACCTGTCTGGTCGTAGAATCGTTGAATTGAATAAAAATACGAATTTTCGATCCAAATTGAATAAAATCATATACAAATTCCTATATAATAATATTCGCCAAACTTCTGTCAACAATATTGAAGAACAGAGGAAGTATTTAGCTACAGCACCACACAAACTCTAACGCAGATGAATTGTCGCCGTGTTGCAACTAACTACTGATCTCCCCCGACTTGGACACGGCAAAATATATAAATTATTCACAGTACATCAACTCAAAAGGTTATTCGTTTTGACAGTATCACTTTTTCCCCATCAATTTATATGAACTGCAGCCATTCGATCTATGAACACTGACAAGTCACAGTCCAGAATTCCGGTACGTTGCCAACAGTTCGCAACTGTCGACGACGACACAGGACGCGATGCATCCCGCGCCAACTCCATCACGCTCTGCCATCACCGAGGCAATCTGGTCCAAGGCGTTCTTCAGTTGCCGCTTCTTGACTTTCGCCTTGAACGGGGCAATAATACCTGCATCCTGAGGCT